TTTTTCGATAGATTTTGCGGCGTTTACCAGCCAATTTTTTCGCGCTTGCTGAAAAATATTTATTTTAATCGAAATATAATAAGAGTTTGTAAAAATAAACAAATAAGACAGAAAATTTACTTGCAATAAGTGCTTGTGCCGTGAGTTGGTAATAATTCTGCGTGTTTAAGTGCAACGCAAAACAGCAACAGCCGCGTGGGCCGGTACCTCAAGCAGCAAACATGTCCGTACGCGATCAAATAAAAATTGATATAGTAAGTAAATATCGCAACATTTTAATGAATCTTATGAAAGGAAGTTATTAATGCTTTGAAAAACTAAATCATAAACAGGAATGGGGTCACGAACGCTTGGTGCGTTCGCAACAGGTTGTGGAGATGCGACCCTACGATATCGAATCGTGGTCCGTGCTGCTGCGTGAGGCTCAAACGCGGCCAGTCAACGACGTACGCAGCTTATATGAATCGCTGGTAAATGTATTTCCTACAACCGCACGATACTGGAAAATCTACATTGAGCAGGAAATGAAAGGACGCAACTTTGAACGCGTTGAAAAATTGTTCCAGCGTTCGTTGGTGAAAATTCTAAATATCGACTTGTGGAAATTGTATCTGACTTATGTAAAAGAGACTAAGGCTGGCTTAAGCACGCACAAGTAAGCTGTCCTTTTATAAAAAAAAATACTGAATCTTTATAAAATATTTCCGCGTTCTAGAGAAAAACTTGCACAAGCCTACGACTTCGCCTTGGAGAAAATAGGTATGGACTTGCACTCGTTTTCAATATGGCAGGACTACATTCATTTCCTGCGCAGCGTTGAGGCTGTTGGTAGTTATGCCGAAAATCAGAAGATAACGGCCGTGCGTCGTGTGTATCAGAAGGCGGTAGTTACGCCCATAGTCGGCATTGAACAATTATGGAAAGACTATATCGCTTTTGAGCACAATATCAACCCAATAATATCAGAGAAAATGAGTTTGGAGCGTTCCAAGTAAATGTCGACATTAGAATGTATATCTCCTTTTTGTTGAAAAAAATTTTAATTTCTAGGGATTATATGAATGCTCGACGCGTTGCCAAGGAGCTTGAAATACTTACCAAAGGGCTGAATCGCAATTTACCGGCCGTTCCCCCAACGCTCTCCAAAGAGGAAACCAAACAAGTAATTTAGCTACAATATGCATATGCATTAAATACATTTTTAAAAACCTAAATTTTCTTCCTTTCAGGTTGAGCTGTGGAAAAAATTTATTGCCTTCGAGAAATCAAATCCGTTGCGCACAGAGGATACAGCGCTCATTACACGCCGTGTTATGTTTGCTACTGAACAGTGCCTGCTGGTGCTCACCCATCATCCAGCGGTGTGGCATCAGGCAGCACAGTATCTCGATCAAAGCGCTCAAGGGTTGGCAGAAAAAGGCGTGCGTATTGTGTTGCATAAAAGTATAATTATATTTTCAGAATTTCATAGCTACACTCGAAGAAGGAAACAATTTGCGTTGCTGAATTTGTGTGACACATTTAAAGTGCATGAAATGCTAATGTTAAGGAATTTCGTTTTTATAGTGGAGACAGCTTCAAAGAACTTCCGACAGTACTTACTTTTGCAATTGCGCAGTTTAGCGGGAAAAGATGCCAATAAAATGCTGTGTGATGCGCAGCACGTTACGCATACAAACTGCCTAAATTAGCCTCTTTTTATTTACAAGAAACTTGCAACAGATGCGTGGTTGTATTGATGCAGTTGCATGTGACTCCGGAGTTAAAACCATCCGGCAGATTTAAAAATTTAATGAAAACATTTTCAATGTCACATACATGTGTATATGTAATAATCCTTTTGTTGTTCTTGTAACAGCATACAAATTCCCCAAACAGTTTTGGGGAATGATGTTGCAGTCCTTGGCCAGATATGAATCTGGGTCGTTCCCGTTAAGTAGTCCCGACTGACGTGGGAACGCTACAATAAATATGTAATAATCCTTTTAATATGTACTAGTCATGCAACTGCAATGATGCTTCCATCGACATCGCCCACTTACTGTGTTCATTTGTACTTATAAGCCATCTAACCACTTGCTAGATTCATGTAAAATTGTTTTATTACTTTCTTCTCCCTCCTCCACAGGACACACAAGCTGCTAAGATTTTCGGCGATGAATGCGCCAATATATTGGAGCGTTCTATCAGCGGCGTTTTGAATAGGAACGCTCTACTTTATTTCGCTTACGCTGACTTTGAGGAGGGACGCATGAAATACGATAAAGTGCATGCCATGTACAATAAGTTGCTGTCTATTCCGGATATTGATCCAACACTGGTAAGGACTATACACCTTTTTAACAATGAATAAATTATAGGTTTTCTATCTGCACTCTCCCTTAGGCTTTTGTGCAGTACATGAAGTTTGCGCGCCGTGCGGAGGGTATCAAATCAGCGCGTGCAGTCTTCAAGAAAGCGCGTGAAGATGTACGCTCACGATACCATGTTTTTGTGGCCGCAGCGCTAATGGAATACTACTGTTCTAAGGATAAGGATATTGCTTTTCGTATTTTCGAACTGGGACTAAAGCGCTTTGGTGGAAGCCCAGAGTATGTTATGTGCTACATTGATTACTTATCACATTTAAATGAGGATAACAATACGCGTGTGCTTTTCGAGCGTGTACTCTCATCAGGCGGGCTGACACCAACGCTCAGTGTTGATGTGTGGAATCGTTTTCTGGAATTCGAGTCAAATATAGGCGATCTGTCGAGTATTGTAAAAGTAGAGCGCCGTCGCAGCGCCGTGCTGGAGAATGTGAGTGGCTGGTGTTGGGTGTACATTCGAAATTTCACGGAGCTAATAATATTTCTCAATTGTAGCTGAAAGAGTATGAAGGTAAAGAGACTGCTCAGCTGGTGGATCGCTATAAATTTCTGGATTTATATCCTTGCACGACCGTCGAGCTGCGTTCGATTGGCTACACAGAGGTGAGATGCAGTTCGCTGCCCTAATTTTGACAACAAAAGAAAAATGTTATACATACATATTACTTGTAAACGTTTGTACATAATTGAAATTTCAATGCTGCTTGCGCTGAAAAAATGCTAGAAAGTTTACGTAAGTTTGCCAAATGGCAGCACCAGCATTCACTTTTCACGACATGCGTTGCAACGGCTAGCGACCATTGCTTTCTTGCCACTTCATTAGCATATTTTACATAATTTCATAGCTGTAGAACAGCTTCCACCTACTATACTTATCATATATTCGGACTCTATAAACTTTTAGAATGTTGGCATCATGACGAATAAATTGGCGGGCGCTACGGCTGATAAGACAGATGAACCAGACTTCGAGCAGGCGGTGACCTTACCGCGTCCAGACTTCTCACAAATGATACCCTACAAGCCGAAGGTGAATGCGCATCCCGGTGAACATCCACTGGCAGGCGGCACCTTCCCTCAACCGCCGGCATTGGCCTCATTATGCGCACAGCTACCGCCTCCAGTTTCCTTCCGCGGTCCATTCGTCTCTATTGAAATGCTGTTCGATATCTTCAACCGCATAAAGCTGCCCGATGGTACATAGTTGCTTTTCTTATGTTTTTTGTTCGCTTTTATTTACCTCTATTTCTATTTTCAGCCGTGCCCCTGCCTGTTGGCGATCATGGTTGCGATACGAAACTCTTCGATTTGGCCAAGTCAGTGCACTGGATTGTTGATGACAGCATTTGCACCGGCGATGCGGGCAGCCTCAAGCGTCGACGCATGCTGCCGGGCGGGGATGACAGCGATGAAGAGGCACAGGCGCCAGCGCCACCCGCTAATGATATCTATCGACTGCGGCAGCAAAAACGTTTCTCCAAATAAACTATGCATACATTTTAATATAATTTTAAATATACTCACTAAGAGCGCGCGGCACTGCATAAAAGTGCTGAATTTTACAATGTACGTAAATGACAGTTTTATTGAAAGCATTTTTTTATTAATATGCAACACAAGGCAAAGTAAAGGCAATAAGCTTACATACAATGATACAAATTAACTAATTAAAGTACATGAGCACTGGACGGAGTAGTGAGTATGTTATTTGAAACCTTAAAACATCTTTTTTTCTTTAATTTTAATTTAAATTTTTTACTTTAGTCTTAATTGCTAGGCGCTTGCACCTTTAAAATGTTCATCTGTAAAATTTGCATGCACATCATTCAACAGCTTTCCAGCTCATTAACAATTTCACATCCAAAATCTAAAATTCCAAAACTTAATAGTATAACGCACAGCATTTAGTTCTGCTTTCGATTCTTCCATCGGTGGTGAGCCGTTTTTGAATTTCCGGTTGGATTTAATATTGAAATATAGTTTTTTCTATTTTTAGTTTCTCATAATTTTCCTGTCACATTAATTGCACTAACATTACAAACCTATTGCACTATTTAAGGATATATGTACGTACAAACATACAAATGAGTCATTTTACAATTCACTGGTAAGTTTGACTGCTTTTGGTTGACTATTTCAGTAGTATAGGGATTTATGAACAACATTACGGGGTATTTAGTTCACCATTTATAATTTTGTATTGTCTTATGTAATATTTGCATTATCTTGTGTACTTCAAGCCGTGAAATTCAAGATGAAATGTATATTAGGAAATCGTTACCAATTTAAGCTCAGCATTTAAATGTTCAAAAATCTTGGCGCTGCTAGCGTTACTCGAGGTGATGTCTTTCTTCGAAGTATTTTCATAATCTTTCAAATAGTTATCTTTGCTGTTGTAATATCAATGTATATTTCACTTAGCTATAAAATTAAGTTCTGTTTTGAATCGCCGCTTCGGCAGTGGTTCTTTAATGTTTCCCGGTATCTCATGCAACGTCTTTATTCTCCTCTTCCCCCTCTATACCGGCGCCCTCACCCGCTCCCGCTCCTGCTCCGGCTGCTGCACGCTCTATCATCTTTTCCGCCCTCTCTTTCACAAACTCAGCTGGGTGATAGCGCTTGCGATGCTTATACAATCCAGCGAATTGCGCAAATTGCTGACAGCACATATTACACTTGTACCGCTTCACGTCCGAGTGCAGCAGCATGTGCGCATAGTAACTGGAACCGACACTGAAATCCTTGCCGCAAATGGTGCACACCTTCTCACGTATATTCATGTGCGTGCGCATGTGCCGATCACACTCGAAGGCCGAGTAGAAGGCCTTGCCGCACAGCTCGCAGGCATGATCGCGCTTATTGCTGTGCCGTTTGATGTGCTGATTTAGTTTGCTGCCGCTGACGTAACTGGCGCCGCATTGCTCGCAGATGAACGGCCGGATCTTGGTGTGCGAGCGCTCGTGAAGGCGCAACGTGGCGGCGTCGAAGAACTTTTTCGGACATTGCGTACATGCGTGCGGTCGCTGATTGGTGTGCCGCTGGAGGTGGCACCTGAGATTGCGCCGCATGGTGAAGCTCATGCCGCAGATGTGGCAGACGTTGGCAAGCGCGGCGGCTTTCTTTTCGGGTGCTGTTAGCGGTGCGCGCTTTGCTTTGGCTTTGCGACGCTTGTTGTTGTGCTCTTGCCACATGTGGCGCTCGATTTCGGTGTGTTTTTTATATTGCGCGCCGCATTTCTCGCAAACGAATGGCGCCACATGCGGATCGAGGAATTTGAGTAGATCGTAGTACTCGTACCTGGGCGTGTATATTTCTCCTTGCTCCTCGGAGGTGAAGCGGCGCTCCTTCTCCAGCCGATAGGTGCAACGGAATTCGACTATACGTTGCTTGAGTTTGAGCGACGAAATGTTGATGTTGTGCGCGTCGCGTAGCTTGTCGCTCATCGACTTGAAAAGCCCTTGACGCAAGCGGCGTCGCTTGAATTGCGCATTATTGATGTCCCACAACTGCGGATGCTCGGCATATACCTCTATGATTTTCAGATTTTGTTGCTTGCTCAGCAGCTGCTTCGACGGATCGTTGGCCTGTTCCGCAAGCTTAAAGTAAAAGCAAATGTGTTGCAGCGCATATGCTGTGAAAAAAAATGATTTTTTACGCTCACCATCGGCGCTAGATAGGCGAAGTCATCGTAGAAACACCAACGCGTACTGCCGCCCTCCGACTCGATGCGCGTTCGCTCACGCCTGTAATACTTGACGTAGTCGTGCACTTTGCGATGAACCGTTGTCCAGGTGTAGTGCATTTGAAAGTGCTCATTCAGCTGTGCGGTCAATCGCCGCCAAGCGTTGCGGCGCCGCTCACGCGCGTTAAAGTCCCTATGTGAGGAGTTCCAAAGAATCGGGTGCTCCGCGTAGAGCTGAATCAATTTACGCGTCTGTTCGGTCGTGAGCCGCGCAAAAGATTCGCCTTTAGCTTTTTCTGTATTTTCCGTGGCCCCGGCCTCATTTCGCTCGTCGCACTAAGTTGGGGAGTTTGGTTAATAAATAAGTTAGGTTGCTGGGTTAGGCGCGCGATTGCAATTCAAGTGACTTATTACTTTTTTGCACAAAAATTGCAATTAAAAGTTTCTAAAAACATGAAGATCGCTTAGACAAGCACTTTATTTAAATTAGTGCCGGCAGTTAACTGCCGAATGAGAGTTAACTCGTCACTGTAAAACAGCCCTTGAAGAGTATATAATTCAAGTTCACCACTGATCTAATCTACATACTTATCAGAGATTCATAAAAAAGAAATGTGAACTATATCAATGTCCTCTCAATCGTAAAGAACCTTAACAATCCAGCCCGAATGAATTCTTACTCTAATAATCCTCTTCTCCCCTTAAGTCCACTCAGCGTAACCTTTATACATAGTCTTGCGTACTTACATCTTGTAAAATTCCCGAGTCACCATTCGAAGAGTCATACTCCTCCGAAGCCACGCTTTCGTCAGCCACAGTTGTAGCATTGTTCTTGGGCATCGTTTCTACTGCACTGGCATCAACGGTAGAGGTGCTTACTTCCGGTTCTTGTGTGTTTAGATTGAACTGAAAGCAAAAAGTTTGCCTTACATTTATGTTTACATCGTCTTGCCATGGGATACTTACCACCGGCTGCAGCTCTATTACTTCCAAAATTTCTACCTTGCCTCCCTCGTTTCTTCTCCGTAAAACTCTCTTCTCCACATTTGAATCGTACTCTGCATTTCTACGTTTGCTGAGTGCATTTTTTTGCTTGAAAGATTTCGTCTCTGACTGCGCGGTCGCCGGCTCCGAGGCGATTGATGTTTCAGCTGCTAAATCACCACCACAGTGCTGGGACTCGCTTGCAGTTGAATTTACGTCAACCTGATTGTCTATAATCTCTGCGGAAACTCCATCCGCAGAGCTCACGCACTGTGTAAACCCGTTAACGTCATCAGTCCCTACTACGTTTTCTTTCTGTAATTCATTGCCGTTCAATTGTTTCGGCAGTAAGCAGTACTCCATTTTTTCTCCACTTTCTTCTATTGTACCGCTATCTATGGAGCCTGTCTCTTGTTCTGAACTTTTGCAGCATTCAGTCGCATCTTTGCAAATTCGTTTGCAAATTCCACAAAACTGTGGCTCGATGTGTTCTTTCAAGAATGATAGGTGCGCATAAAACTCAAAGCATCTCTCGGATGACCGGCCTTCCAGCATGCTTCTCAGCTCTTCGAGTTTCTCGAGGCGGTAACGTTTTCGTAGCACCGCCAGCCGATGTTTTACCGCTGCCGCTCCGAGATTTATTCCATGTTGCTTTAGTTCCAGGCTGATGCTGCGATATGCTTCCGCTTGCTCCTCAGGTTTAAGTTCGCTGCGTTGTTGTTTACGCCAGAGCTCGGGATATTTCTCATAGATTTCGATTAACTTCTCAGTTTTACTACGTTGCCGGGCGGGATTCTGCGGAAATGGAAGGTTTTTTAAAAAAATGGAGTACTAGAAAAATGACTGACGCTTCTAGTTTTGAAGAAGGCCTCTATTCGAGCCATAGTCTCTATTCAGAGCTTACGCAACGCAATTAAGATCTTACTGATTGATCATCATTATATCTGTAGAAAACCTTACGAACTTTTCCGCAGAGTTGGTGGAGTTTTCTTTCAAGCTCATTGCGCAAATAAAAAATAAAAATAAAATGTGCAGAGTCTGTTGAGTTCTGGACATCAGTATCAAACTCGAACCTCGCATGAATGACACCCAAAACGCAAAGATGATAGCCCAAGAAAAAAAGCCAACCGAACCGTTAGTTTAAAGAAACTATAGGATGTTCTCACGGCAGTCGGAACTACATAATCGGATCGACCAAGATTTAGATCTGGCCGAGGCCTGCTACTTCAGCAAAATTCGTCAAAAATTTGTGTGCATTTAAAACTACAACGGCTGACGAAGAAGGGTTAAAAAGCAGGTCATCGAACCCGGACAATATACATACGTTCGATAGATCTACAGTCGACCTAATATCTATTTGGCCAAGCCACATAACAAAGTTTACATTATTATTTAGAAAGCGGAATACATAAATATGTACTTATGTATGAAAAACTAGAAGAAACTAATAAATTTCTGTGCGCAAACATGGAATAAATTAGCATCTACTTACCTCAACCTGTTTTTGTACGTCGGCAGTCATTGTACTTGCGCTCGCACACTTCACATACATGTCTTCAGCACCGCGAAGCGTCTTTTCTTCCGCACACAAATTACTTGCAACTCCACTATCGATTAAGCGTACAGCAGTAGAAGCGCGCGCCATCACTTCGAACGGCGCAAACGAGCTTGAGTTGTTGTCGCAAGCGACGGATATGGCTACGTTTTCACTGCTATCGGAAATCTTTGAAAAAAAATTTTGAAAATGAGAAACCAAAAAACCAAACCGATTCGTCTTATGACGTTACAATGGCGCGCTACACTCACCGTTGTCGCCAAAGCTGCCGCTTCCATAAAAGTGTCTTGTATCTCTGCATCTATTTCAGCTTCTGATCCAAAATGTTCGACTTCGCTCGCCGAGTCTGTTTGCTCCTCCATAGCCGTCCATTGAGTGGTCCAAGTTCCACAGCGTTC